TCATTTTACACCTAGAATGCTCAGGTTTTGGTGGCTTTATAGATTTGACATCAGGAGTAAACACTTGCCTAACCCAATGGCATCAATGGTCAGTTGCTAAGGAGCTGAAGCAACACTTCCAGAGTACTGATTGCCTGTGTCCCCTAAAGTGCACACTGGTTCCTTTCACTGATATAAAAGGTCAGCAAGAGGAACCACTGAGTTGCAGAGGAAACAGAACAGAGTCAATCCTAGAGTGTTGTCTGGTAACAGGCATTGGGATAGAATAACTTTTGCGGATACAGCATTGTGGTGTTATTTACAAACAGCACTTAAAGCAGAACTTATGCTCTTCCTCAACCATCCCCCCACACACATTTGGATTTTATTTTTTTGGGATGGGGGGCAGCAGGGGACCTGCCAAAAATAGGTGCTCCAAGCAGAAGTCCCCCCATGCATGGTGGGCAGCCAGCTGTGAAGAGGCAAGCAGCCATAGCCAGGGACCGAAAGACTGGTGAAGAAACCGGCTCAGGGGAGGGCAGCCCTGGATCCCTGGACAGAGGAGTGTGTTTATTAAAAGTCAGCAGCTACAGTTTTTCTTATAGCTGCTGACTTTTCACATATAACTGAAGCTCCTCTAAATTCTTAAATCCTGGACTGAGACCAAGAGCTTTTTTTATCCCAACAAAGATGCAGTCATTAGAAACATGTCAAGAACGTGGTTGAGACTGCAGTACTCTGCATACCCAGCAGCAGTACTGGCCTCACTTATTTTGTTCCACACAAAATGGGCTGCCATAAGCCCATTATGTCTTTCAGGAATGTAATCTTTGTTCAAGTGTTTTTCAGATTAGCAATTTTTCGGTATTTGTAAAATGATCCAATCTTTTGACAGGACAGACATGAAAGCTCTTCATAAACACTTTTAGGGAAGACTATACCACAAATACGCTAAACTTGCCTAGTCTATGTCAAACTGCTTAGAATTCTTTGGAAAACCTTTAAAAATGCATACCACGTGTAGCTAGCTATACAAATGAACACTTTCAAATGAGGATAACATCCTTTACAATAACAAAGGGGTTGTAACTTTTTTTTTTTTAGAACACAAGTTTACCTGTTCTGTGCAATGGTATTGGACAGAGTAGACCTGATCCTTCTCTTCTGGGGTCCCCCAATGGAGCTCTAGGAATCCTCCTCCTATGGCGGCACATGTGCAGGCATGCTCCCGAGCTTTGCTGTGTGCATCAAAAGACACACATAGCGTGGCTCGGCCGCACACCATGCACACAGGATTTGATTGAGAAAGCCACTACAGACGGGCACAGTGTTGGATCAAATTAGGTGTGTATTGGGGGGAGGGGGGTGTGATACAAATACTAGAACATATTTCACCTTGCAGGGAATGCATTAAGGAAAAAAAAAAAATGTGCCTTTTAGAACCACTTTAACCACTTGCCTACTGGGCACTTTAATCCCCTTCCTGCCCAGGCCAAATTTTCATCTTTTAGCACTGTTGCACTTTGAACATATGTATCCATATGAAATTTTTATTTTTTTTCACACAAATACAGATTTCTTTTGGTGGTGTTTAATCGCCACTGGGTTTATTTTTTGCACTATAAACGAAAAGAGCAAAGAATTTGAAAAAAAAAAAAAAAGTTTGTTTCTATTGCAAACAGGTACATTTTCTCCTTCATTGATGTGTGTTGATGAGACTGCACTAAAAAGCAGCACTGATAGGCAGCAATGATGAGCACTGCAGGGCACTTTTGGGGCAGCACGGATAATCAGGGCACTGATACATCACCAGCAAGGCTCCCATCACCCATTCACTACACATCTGCACAAAAGGCTGGTCAGTAGCTCTGAGGAAAGGGATTCATCCCCTAAACGCATCAGCCATTTGAACACACTGACAGTTGGAACACCTTGCCTGCCGTTGTGGCCATCTTCATTATGCAAAAGCTTTTTAGATACATGCTTCGTCTGCGAGTATGTTTTTGTCTTTTAAACCTTTGCATAAACCTTGGATAATGCACTAGGTGTGTGCGCCACCTGTTTATTCTCTATCCAGTGGCTGATCTCCCCGTCTGAGGAGGGCTGCACCCCTGAAGCATTTCCTTTAATGGTCGCTGTCCTGGTTCTCTTGGCTGCCCTTTGGCTGTCCATTTCCTGAGGCGCTGGAGAGTACATACGAGAACTGATAATCAGTGCCCTGTTTGTCAGTGCATATGTGTTATTGTGTTTCAAAAGGTGTGGTGTTCTCTTTGCTACCAACTTGTGCGGTGTCACATTCAAGATCAAAAGAGCTTTCCAAGATCCTCAAACAAGGTTGTGATGCTTAGGAGTCTGGCAAGGGACTTGACAAAATCACCAAATAATTTGAAATAAAGCATACTGTAAGGAGAATAATCTACAAGTGGCATAGATTTCAAACTGCTAAATGTGTCAAGGACTGGCCAGCTCAGCAAACTCAGCCCAAGAGTTGAGCACTTGATGCTATACAAAGACCTCAGTTTCATTGGTGTATCTGCACTGGTGTGTCTGGCAAACGTAGGTGTCAAAAGTGCATGTGTCTACAACCTCATACCAACTGATAAACATGGTGGTAGTGGATATGTTTTGGGGTTGTTTTGCCGCTTCAAGACCTGGGCAGTTTGAGATCACCAAGCTAACTATAAATGTTACATATCAAAGTGTGCTTGAAGAGAATATATCCAAAAGTTGAACTTGAATTTTTTAAATATATCTGAAAATTCAAACAAATCTGAAGCACAATAGAAACACCAACAAATGCAACAAAAAAGTAGAGCATTATGAACTGCCCTAGTCAAAGTCCAAATTTAAATCCCATTGGAACGTGGAAGGGATTTGATATGGACAGTTTTCATAGCGGAACTTCCCAAATATCTTGCCACTGAAAGAATTTTCATGAAGGAATAGTGAAGAATTTTACTGAGTGGATGTCAAAACTGTTGGGCAGTTACAGTTGTGTCCAAAATTATTCAACCCCCACTGAAATTGAGGTTTTGGCCAGTTTGACATTGCTTTTGATCATTCAGTCATTTGCTTACATTTACATTAAAGAGGCACTTGTAGGTCAGACAAATATAACATAACAGTTACATAATGAATAACCACAAATTCTTTTCTGTGCTCAGAGCATGCATCAATTTTATTCAACCCCCAAGTGACATTCAATTTTTACTTAGTACAGCATCCTTTTACAGTTATAACAGCTTTTAAACGTGAAGCATAGCTTGACACAAGTGTCTTGCAGCGATCTACGGGTATCTTCGCCCATTCTTCATGGGCAAAGGCCTCCAGTTCAGTCACATTCTTAGGCTTGCGCACTGCAACTGCTTTCTTTAAGTCCCAAGAGGTTTCCAGTGGTGTATGGCTTTTTTTCTTCCTGTGAGCGTTGGGCCATTACTTTGCCTTTGTTTTACCATTTTTAGGTGGGACTCAATCGGATTTTAAGTCTGGTCTTTTTTTTTTTTTTTTTACTGCGATGGCCACTCCAAAAATCTGTTCAAATAAAGGTAAGCCTGGTGTGTGACGGACTGCATCTGAAGCGTGAAGCTTCCCTGTACTGCAGAAGCAAAACAGCCCCAAAGCATTTCTACCATGCTTCACAGTACTGTTCTTTTCATCCCCTTGTTCTTCCTCCTCCAAACATAGCGTTGATATGTGGCCCAAATAATTTTGTTTCATCAGTCCACAAAACTATCCCACAACTTTTGTGGTTTGTCCACATGGCTTTTGGCATACTTAAGTCGATCTTCTTATTCTTAGACAGTATGGTACGCCTGGGAGTTCTGGCACGGAGGCCTTCATTACGCAGTGTGCGTCTTATTGTTGGGCTCTTCTGTACCCACATCTGACAAATCAGTTCCTCAGGGTCTCTCAACTCTACGCTTCAGTGCGCACAGCAGTCGAAGTCAGCATTTCTTTCTGCCACGACCAGGTAGCGTTTTTCAACAGTATTTTGCTTGAATTTGCGAATGATGAAGGTGTCTCTTGGTACATCTTTGCAATCTTCTTATAGCCATTGCCCTTCCTGTGAAGAGAAATCACCTCTTCTCTTGTCTTCCTGGACCATTCTCTTGCCTTATCCATGTTTGCTCCGGTGTCTAGAAGGAGCTGAGTATCACAGTCATTTTAAAGCTGCCTAATTGGTGCTTACTTGATTGCTGCTCACATCCACAGGTGTTTTCAATACCTGATGGAAAGCACTGTATCCTTCTTCAGAGTGGTACTCCAATGGCCACATCCCTCACTCCTGCCGCTTGGCTCCACCTCCTCACCGTGTGATCGGGCGCCAGAACTGTAGATCAGGAAAGGCACACAGGCAGCCAATCACCTGTGAGGCGGAGCAGAGCGGCCCTGCAAACATCGAGTGAGGGAGAGGGCCGGAGTGAAGGACAGCTAAACAGGTAAGTGTGCTGTGCCGATGGTGCAATGCTGCAACCAGGTATGCTGGGAAAGTCAATTTCCAGTGGTGTACTTTTTCCATGGTGTCAAATATATGAAACAGGGTTCTGCATTAATTTCAATTTCGTAATCCCTCCCCTTAATGATGTGCAAATGAAAAACTCTGAACACTGACTTCATATCTTAGGTAGGTAAAGGCACTGGAGTGCCCCAGGGGTCCTCAAACTGTGGCCCGCCAGCTGGGGCGTACCGAGGACGGGACACTAAGTACAGGGGGCTGCTATTCCTCCCCCAGTCCCACTGATCCAGTCCAGGAAGCATGCTCCTTCATTCACTCCGGCACTATCCTGCCCCTCCCCTCCTCACCGGTGACGGGCGCCAAACGTAGATGGGGCACACTATCACCTGTGAGGCCTCCCCCCCAAACTGATCGAGTGAGGGAGAGGGCCGGAGTGATGACAGCTAACTATGTCCTGTGCCGATGGTGCTGCTGCAACCAGGTATGCTGGCTGCAGCAGCAGCATGGGACAGGGGTCAGCAAGTAAGTGTCCAGTGGGAGGAATAGTGCCCCATCATTGGTGTCACTGACACCAACGATGGGGCACTATTCCTCCCCCCCACTGACACCAAAGATGGGACACTATTCCTCCCACTGACACCAACGATGGGGCACTATTCCTCCCCCCCCCTGACCCACTATTCCCCCCCCCCCCCACTGACAACGATGGGGCACTATCCCCCCCCCACCACACTATTCCTCCTACTGACACCAAAGATGGGACACTATTCCTCCCCCCACGGACACCAACGATGGGGCACTATTCCCCCCCCCCACACGACACCAATGATGGGGCACGATTCTTCCCACTGACACCAATGATGGGGCACTATTCCACTCCATAAAACACACTTGGGGGACAAATGTCTGCAGTCACTGGTCATCTCCTGTAAAACACGGGGGGAATGTCCGCAGTCTCTGGTCATCTCCTGTACCGTGTCCGCAGTCTCTGGTCATCTCCTGTACCGTGTCCGCAGTCTCTGGTCATCTCCTGTACCGTGTCCGCAGTCTCTGGTCATCTCCTGTACCGTGTCCGCAGTCTCTGGTCATCTCCTGTACCGTGTCCGCAGTCTCTGGTCATCTCCTGTACCGTGTCCGCAGTCTCTGGTCATCTCCTGTACCGTGTCCGCAGTCTCTGGTCATCTCCTGTACCGTGTCCGCAGTCTCTGGTCATCTCCTGTACCGTGTCCGCAGTCTCTGGTCATCTCCTGTACCGTGTCCGCAGTCTCTGGTCATCTCCTGTACCGTGTCCGCAGTCTCTGGTCATCTCATGTACTATGTCCGCAGTTTCTGGTCATCTCCTGTACTGTGTCCGCATTTGTTCATTTTTTTTTTTTTTTTTTTTAAACTATAGTCCGGCCCTCCAACGGTCTGAGGGACAGTGAACTGGCCCCCTGTTTAAAAAGTTTGAGGACCCCTGTCCTAGACCATGGATAAACATGCCGCTACCATCAGATCGGACACTTGCAAAAGATTTGCTGGGAAGGCCAGTCTCCCCTAGTGCACCCTCATAACCTCACCCATTCCGTGGGACTCCAGTTTTGTAGAAAGCAAAATTGGAAAAAGAAAGCAATAAGTAGAAAGAGGGGAGGGACTTGTCTCTTGTACTATACACCAGGTGGTCTTGCCTATTTGGATGAGGTCAAGGTTTGTCTGCCAGGAGTCTGAGTACGTTTGTGTAAGTTCTCCTGGGCCTATTTGGGGCAAGTTTTACTGGCATCCATTTCCCCTACATATTGAGGAATCAAGGCAGAAGCTTCACTGGAGGAAAGTCCATCCAGTTCAAAGATAGTAAAAAAAAAAAAAAAAAAATAGTTATAATCCTATACCCACAGTTGATCCAGAAGGCGGCAAAAATAAAAAAAAAAAACCTAGCAAAGCACAATCCAATTTGCTCCTGCTGGGAAAAAATTCCTTCCTGATTCTCCCCCCCCCCCCGAGAGGCAAATCGGATATTCTCTGGATCAACTTTCCCTATTAATGTTAGTATCCAAGAAAGAATCCAGACCTTTTTTGAAGCAATCCTCTGAGCTGGCCAGAACCAACTCTTGAGGGAGTCTATTCCACATTTTCACAGCTCTCACTGTGAAGAAACCTTTCCGTGTTTGGAGATTAAAATTATTTTCCTCCAGAAATAAAGAGTGCCCCCTTGTCCTCTGTGATGACCTCAGGGTGAATAGTTCTACACTGAGTTCACTAAATAAACCACTGATGTGTTTATACAGGTTGATCATATCCCCCCTTAATCTTCTCTAGAGAGAATAAAATTCAGTTCTTCTAATCTTTCCTCATAGCTGATCTCCTCCATGCCTCGTATCAGTTTAGTTGTCCTTCTCCGTACTTTCTCCAGTTCCCCAATGTTCTTTTTGTGAATTGGTGCCAAAAACTGAACTGCATATTCCAGATGAGGTATTACTAATGATTTGTACAGGGGTAATATATCTCTCTCTCTGGAGTCTATACCTCTTAATACAAGAGGATTTTGCTCGCTTTAGAAACCGCAGCTTGGAATTGCATGCCATTATTAAGCTTGTGATCTACCAGAACTCCCAGATCCTTAAAGGTGCTTTATTCACCTTTATACTGTCTAAATATTTTTGGATATCAATTGTGAGCCAATGTGGATCATCTGGAGCTGTGTCAATACCTTGCCCATTATGGACAAGAGCTCCCCCATGCTCCTTTGTATACACAGAGCTGAAAAAGGTATTAAATAAATTTGCCTCCTCTTTGTCCCCAGTCACCCACTCTAGATCATTTTGTAAAGGGCCTACATGCTCGGAGAGGACCTTTTTACTATTATTTTATTTGAATTTTTTAGGGTTGGTCCCGCTATCTTTTGCAATCTGTCGTTCGTTTTCAATTTTTGCGGCCTTAATCTCCTTTTTGCATATTCTGTTACATTCTTTGTAATGTTTAAACGATGATAGTGTTCATTTTTATATTGAATGAAAGCTCTTTTCTTATCTATAGCCTTTTTACCTTTGGCCATAAGCCACATAGGTTTGATTTTTTAGACTTGTTGCCCATGGGAATATATTTTGCAGTGTGTTCACATAGTCTTTGAAGAACTCCCATTTCTGTGTTGTGTTCATCAATGCCAATATTTCCTCCCAGTCTAAGTCTTGGAGAGCAGCTCTCAGCCTTGGAAAATTAGATCTCTTGAAATTGAGCATTTTTATTTTTCCCCGAATGTGCTTGCTGTTTACAGCTAACAAATGAAATCATGTTATGGTTACTGCTACCCAGATGTTCTTTTATATGGACGATCATAATAAGCTCTGTATGGTTTGAGATTACAAGGTCCAGCAGAGCATCATTCCTAGTAGGGGCCTCTATGAACTGTACCATACAATTGTCCTGTAGTAGGTTTAAAAATTTTTGCCCTTTAACGGTTCCTGCAGTACCATTACTCCAGTCAATTTCCAGGTAGTTAAAAGCCCCCATTATTTGCAATGTCCCAGCCCTTTCGATCTGTGCAAGGAGCTGAATTTCCACCTCATTAACACTGTTCAACCTGGAGCCCATGATATCTTTATCCAGGTGCTCCCCATTTCCGACAAAGCATAAGGAAGATCTTGAAATTAAGGAAACACTCCTTTGAGTTTAGAGATTCAGGATTTCTGCTAATGAACTTTGCACTCTTGCTTCGTAGATAGCAGACTGTTGGAATGGGACTGACAGAAAATCAGGCTTACCTCCTTCAAAAGTTGCTTGGCTTCTAGTTCCCCCTTGGTAGTTTATGTAGGTGACAGACGTGGTATTGCCAACTGTACTTTTACTGGGTGAACATAGAGAGCGGTCCAGTGTAGGAAAGCCCATCTTATGTCTTTCTATTCCAAATTATCAATAGGGAGCATTTACTCCTGTGGGGACCAGATACCCTGGTCAGTTAAATCATACTAGATCCCATTCCAGGCTGGCATCTATTGTTACCCCCCCCCCTCCCCCAGGAAAGAAGAGTAATCATTTTCCAGATTATAGAGATGAGTTGAAAATCCTCCATGCCAGAGATTTTTGCCTAGCTGGATAGAAATAGTGGGTGATCCAGAGAAGAGATCTAATCATCCAATGTTGTCTGCAGGGGTAAAGATGAAGTAGGAAAAATAGAAAAAAAGACACTTAAAAAAAGGCAGGATTACCAAAATTAAGTGAGGAGCAATTAAAATCCCTAGAATCAGCAATAACGCAGGAGGAAGTACACTTAGCATTGAAAGAGCACTATAGCTGGGAAAAGTCCAGGACCTGATGGATACACAGTGAGATATTATAAAAAATATAAAGAACTATTAGTACCTAAACTGAGGATATACATGAATGCATTGGGAGGAGAGATGGAAATGAGGGAATCCCTACAAGCCCATGTAGTTCTCATACATAAGGAAGGTAAAGATGATACTTACTGTTCAAGTTACAGGCCGATTTCCTTATTAAACACAGATACCAAACTATATGCAAAAATTCTGGCAAACAGGTTGAAAGACCTAATGTCGGAATGGATAAACAAAGACCAAGTAGGCTTTGTCCCAGGGAGAGAGGGTAGAGATAACGGACTGAGATCTCGGTTTCTCATACAAAAAAGTAGGAAAGAGAAAATTCCTGCGGTGGTACTCTCTATCGATGCTGAAAAGGCATTTGATAGAGTAGATTGGGGATATATGTTGGATACATTGGAAGTATTGGAGACGGGACCTAGAATGAGAGAGTGGATAAGGAAATTATATAGTCAACCCTCTGCAGCAATCATGGTTAATAAGGAATTGTCAGTATTTTGGGATGCAGAACGGAACTAGACAGGGATGGCCTTTGTCTCCATTGCTATATGTTTTATCATTGGAATCTCGGCTACAATATGGAATATAGATATAAAAAGGAATTTGGATAGGAGATGTGGAGCATAAGGTGGCAGCTTATGCAGATGACACGCTGTTCTATGTGGGAAACCCAAGGATAACATTGGCATCTCCCCATATTTCATTAAATTTGGCAAATTTAAATACTAACCCAACAAAAACAGAAATTTTAAACAAATCTTCCTAATAGAGAGAAAAATAGGTTACAGGAGGAATTTCCCTTTGTTTGGAGAGAAAATTGAAATATCTAGGAATAAAATTACTGTATGCTCCAAGAACTTTTATAAATTGAATTATATCCCATTGTTAAATGAGATCAGGAATGAACTAAGGAAATTAGGAGGGGGAACCCCGTCATGAATAGGTAGTATAAATTTGATAAAAATGGTGATTGTTCCAAAAATATTATATAAATTTCAAATACCAATTAAACTACCAGAAGTATACTTTACATCAATTAAAAAAATGTTAAGATTTATTTGGAGGAATAAAAAACAGAATAAGCCAGGAAATTTTATGTAGACATAAAGAGAAAGGAGGATTGGGAGTCCCAGATTTAAAATTATAAGTTGGTAATAATGGTGAGAATGTTTGACTGGACATATAATGCAGAGGGGAAAAGCTTTCCCTTTTTTAGAGGGTTAAAATAGAAAATATACTAAGTAATACTAAATTAAGTGGAATTGTATGGTTACATCCACAATACAGAAGATTAGCAGACAGTACAAGTTTGTTCACATTCAATGTTTTAAGAGTTTGGGATGTTTTACACGAACAGATGGGATGGGAATTTAATTCATTGTTAATGCCCTTAAAGTCCACAGAGTTTTCCCCCCAGGTAAAGAAGGTATCACAGGGATGTGGATTAAGAAGGAAGATGCACAATTAAGAGATATAATGGTGGGGG